GTTCAACAGGGAAAGAAGGAAGGAAGGAAGGAAGAAAGGAAGGAAGGGGCAGAAGAAAACGAATGAACGAACGAACGAACGTACGTGTTTAGATAAAAATTCATTTGTACTCGTAACCGAGAGATTAGACGAGTATAAAATTATTGAATCAAAGAATTGGATTATATTTGAAGATCTTATATATGTTTTATGATTAAATAAAAGTTAAAAAAGGATATATATGAGATGAAAGGATAAAGGAATATAGAAGATTTTCTTCAAAATAAAAGTAATCGTATTTTAAAAAGGTATAAAAGTTTAAATTAAATACGACAAAGGTGATTAACAATCATAGCGTATTATCTTTTTTCCAGTCGATGATGATGTGATATGAATCGTGCGCCGAGAGAATACAATTTTCATTCATGCATCGGCACCACGAAGGGGACGACAACGTTGTGTGAGTAAAAGGAGGGAGGGGCTGAAAGTGGACGGGATGGGCCAGGCTATATACACCTTTACTGAATAGCTCCCGCGTTGGATGAAGAGGAGGAGGAAGAGGAAGAAGACAGAGAGGGTGAGTGTACGCGAGGGGTGGGGGCGAAGGTCAAAGCATGAAAGGGGGAGGAAAGAGGGATGAAAGGGAGCGCGATGAAGCATCTTTCCATGAATGAGCGAATTGAACGACACGACCAAGTGCCTCTGTTTTTTTTTTTCTTTCTTTCTTTTTCTGTTTTTGTTTTCCCCTATCGTTTCGTTTCGTTTCGTTTCGTTCCGTTTCGTTCGTTCGTTCGTTCGTTCGTTTATTTTTACTCTTTCATCTTTTTACGTATTAAAAGAGAATTTTAATGAAAATTATTGAGAAGAGGATTAATTAATATTTTTCTATATATGTTTCAGAAACGTATTATTTACTGAATCAAAAGAGAGGGAGAGAGAGAGAGAGAGTGAGGAAGGGGTGAAAGAGAAAGAGTAACCGCCCCTTTCGTTCATTCGTTCATTCCGTTCAATTCCGTTGGTTGAAAACGTTCGTTAATCACAATCCCATCGGCGATCGTTCACCGTCTGACACTTCCGTGACCGCAAGCAACCGCATGTTGAGAGAGAGAAGAGAGAAGAAGAATCAGTAGGTAGAGATGGGGGTGAGAGGAGGGAGAAAAAAAGAAAGAGAAAGGGAGGAAAAGAGCAAGGCGATTAAAATAAAGAGGCGTGTACGTGAGAGAAACAGAGAGAGAGAGAGAGAGGTAGATAGATAGAAAGACAGACCAATCGAATGAATTGAAAAAAAGGGGAAAACTCAAAGAAATAAATGTTCCATATTTTTTCCCCTTTCTTTTTTTTCTTTAGAGATACGTGTCGCATATTTTTTGAAAGTTATCCTTGTGTAACTCTGTAGTATTTATTTATTTGAGCTATTTTAGAATTCTTTCTTTTTTTGGTATTTGTTAATTTGATATATATATATAGATATGTCTAGATAGGTACGTATTGTCAGAGTGCATACGTGCTGTTTTCTACGAACAGAATTGGGTTCGTTCTCCGTCTCTTTCTTGTTGTGTTACTTTTTATTTATTTTAATATTGTATATAATATTAATTTTATCTTTATTTTTATCGCGTTCGTGAATAAATTCGTCGAAAGAGAATCTAATGAATATAACGAGTAAAGTGAATAAAATATATGCGAAAGAGAATGTGTAAGAGAAAAAGAGATAGAGAGAAAGAGAGAAATGTCGAACACCGGAAGAGGGTTGGGAAAAGAGAAAGAAGATGGGCTTGCCGTTCGGAAAGCAGAAAACAGCTTTACGTGTATGCGTGCGTATGTAATATACGTATATGTGTCAAGTTAGAAAGAGACAGATAGATAAAAAGATAGGTAGATAGAAAGATAGCTAGAAAGAGACCGAGAGAATGTGTGTGAGAGAGAGAAAGAGACAAACAGAGGTAGGCCTAAAAAGGGTAATAAAGGACGTAAAGAAAGGAATAAAAAAGAAAATAATAAAATAAAAATTGAGGGTGCGACCGAGTGTGTATGTATGATGTGTGTATGTGTGTGTACCTGTTCCTCGAAACGCGCAATTAGCGAATTGGCCCATTCTACCGGCTTTTGCGTGCCCATTGCCGTCCGAGTTTCAGTGACGAGCCGTCATCACGTAGGACGATTCACGAGCTCGGTACGGGCACTCGACATCGATACGTAGCCATTTACGAACGTCGACTGACGAGCGCCCTGCGTCTCAGCCTCGCCAAGGAGGGGCGCAATAACTCGGGCTCCGGATTACCACTGGGGCGGGAAAGGGAGGAAGGCATGGGGGGAGAAGAAAGGGCTGTATTACTGCTGATACTAGTGCTGCTGCCACGCTGCCATCGCCGGTACTATTACTTCTCTACTAGCCGTGCTTTCATGTCTCTCTTTCTACTTATTATTGGTACTCTGGTGCTCTAGTAGTGGTACCAGTATTGGTGCTGCCTATTATACTACTACTAATACTATTACTACTATTATTATTATTACTTACTTCTCTCGAAGGGCGCGCTCTATCTCTATCCTATTTCATACATCGTATGTGCATTCGCTTCGTAGAAAACCGGAGATGGACGAAGACTCACGATGTCCATTCGTACTTGTTGACCAATCATTGAACGAGCTTGGATTACGCTCAATACTGTATCTAGTCATATCGAGTGCCCCTCTTCTTGTTCGTTAATGTAACTTAACGAAAATTTTTTTTTTTAACATTTAATTTCTTACCCTCTCTAAGGGCATTTTTGTAAATTTCTCTTTCTTTTCTATTTTTATTATTATTATAGCTAGAAAGATCGTATTTTAAAGATTGTTAAAATTGAAGTTATATTAGCGTAAAGTATTTATATGTCTGAAACAAGGATAGGTTGTCAACGATGACGTTAATTCCGTAATTAAGGTTTTCCTCTTTCTCACGCCCACACATTTTCTACATGAAGATACGAGTAAATGCGAACGTTGGAATAACGTGACTTTAATAAAGCTACGTGGGGGCGTCTAGTTAAATTATGACGTTTATTACGTCTGAATTTCTATATTTTGTTCTTTTTTTTTTATTTATTTTTAATATAATTTTGTTTTTCCGTTTCTTTTCTTTCCTTTCCTTTTGTTTTTGCGTCGATATCGATCGATCTTTTATTGTGTATTTGAAATTATTAGGTTATGTCGATTATTTGTTTAAAAATATTTTTTAACGAATCGAATTAATTGTATTTTTTTTTATGATGATAATTTTTTAAAATTAAGAAACGTTCTTAATAATAGTTTATATAATAGAATATGTTTTATACAACTTTTACCTAATTTCGATTTTAATTATAAGATTGAGAAAAAGAAAATAAAAAATAACGGAGTTTCAATAAAGTGGGTGCATTGTTCTGCACCTTCTTTTGTTTCGGTCCTGACGTTGCCTGACTTTCCCCATTTTCCAACCGTGCCATTCATAACTGTTGAACGGCCTTGCACCTTACAAGGAGACGGTGCGATCGTCCCCCCCGCCGATTTTTTTGAAATTTGGCACACTTGTAGTAGTCCATGAGAAGATTCATTGTACCTTTAAATTTGATGCAAATACCCAGCCATTTGGGAAACAACGCGAATTGAAATTTCACATAGATGTGTATTCCCTTTAGCTCTAGTGTAGTGTAGTAGCCTACAATAGCAGCGATGTGTTTGTCTCAGAAGTAGCCGATACCTGTATCTTTTCTAATATTTAGATAGGATTAAGTTTGTTTATATACTTATATGAACTCATGTCTTCTTTTCAGAAATTCCCTGTGAATTATTATGCCAATAGAATGCAGCTGCAGTAAGAAAATCTAATCTAGACAATAATATGTTTAGAGATAAAAATGATAATCTTGTTTGAGGAAGAAGTAAATATTATAATACTGTTATATACATACATTTATTTTTATCATATAAGAAATTATTTACATTGCATTCATTTTTAATTATTTAACAAAAATATATATATAGATAATATGTATTTTATTACCGACTGGTGAAAGACGTCCCGCCATCTATGTGTTACTAGCTATTACTTCATCTTACCTACAGGTGAAACAGTTATCGCCATCTAGCGGTAATAACTATTACTTTATTTTACCGACTAGTAAAATATGTTTCGCCATCTAGCTGTACTAGTTAGAAACATCATAAGACTTTCAATGGAATATCGATCAGCAGCTTAAAAAAATCGTACTAGATTTTCAATTGATTTTTTATATAAATTGAAGAAGAAAATATAATTAAGGTAATCATATTTAAAATGATATTACACCTATAATTATTATCTTTAATTTAGTCTTATATAATTTATGTGTTTGAAAGAAATATGATAATTATATCATTCATATAATAATATTAATAGTAATAAGTTCATTCGAATTTTCCCGCGGTTTGAGTGAGATAATAAAAGCGATCGAAGCGCCTCTATAATATGCGTAGTCGAGTATACTGAACTACGATACCAATTATAATCTATATAGTTAAAGTTTGAAAATCAGATCATAAAATTAATGTTTAATTAATTGTAAGTAATTGTTGTAATTTTATTAGCTTTAAAATAATTCTAAGATTTGTAAATGCATAAAAGTGACAGATATTTTTGTACTTTTTGTTTAAAGTTTTAAAGTTTACAGAAGATCCAAGATTCTTTTGAATTTGGTGCGTATTTATTGATATTTGATAATATTTTTATATTATTTAAAATAATTTATGAAAATTATTTAATCTCTTTGATATATTATTAACAATCCTTTCTTCTTATTATTAATTAATTAATTAATTAATTATTGGAACAATAATGTTCTTTTAGTCAGATTATTCTATTGTAATTAAATATTCATATCATAATGTGATAAAATTATTTCAAATAGAATAATTGATTTTAGGTTAGTTATATGGAAAATTGTAATAAAAATAATTATAATAATAAATAAGGTAAAATATTAATGAAACATATTTATTTAAATATCTATAATTAAATATTTATTAATGATCATTTAATGATCATTTTTCTTTTAATGCAGATATCACCGCATTAAGAATATTTACATCTCTTTGACGATGTTTTGGAATACTGCTCACACTTTTTGGATCTACATCAGAAACTTTTACATTGGTAAGGAAACAAAGATCTTCAGATATTTTGATGACATATTCTTTTGGTACAGATGACAATGCTTCCCTGTAAAAATAAAAAAAAAAGAATAAAACATTAAATTTGTATCCTTTGAAAGAGAGATAATTACTTTTAATGTGATATATAAAAACTTACGGTTTTAATTGTTGAAAAGTTATTAGTATTGAACAATCTCTTGCAGTTGAAAACAAAAGATAATTTTCTAATGCTATTAAATCTTTCTCATTTATGTTATTAAATATCCTATCTCTACTATGTTCAATATCTTTTTTTTCATTATTACTTCTATCCATAAGCTTTTCATTGTTGCAAGACAAATTGTTTTTCCATTGATTTTTAGTTTCAATTAACTCAATGTTCTCTCCATTTTTAGAAGTTGACGACCAATTATTGCTATGATTTCCATTGGAAACTTCATGTTTTTCTTTGATATATTTCCAAGAAGAATTTATTAAATGAGAGTATATGATATCATCATTTATCACTGTAGAATATTTATCATAGATATCATAGATGTATTCTGTACCGACATATGGTAATCTCTGCATGGAAAGTATTCTTTCTAATACACAATACTTAGGTAAATCATTAGTTTCACGATTACATTTCTATAAAAAAATAAATTAATAAATATCAAAAACTACTTTACTAAATACTTATTCTGAATAATTGATATCAACAAACGAAATCCTTACTTCCTGTATAAGATAAAACAGTTCTCTTGTTTTTGTAATGAATTCTTTGTTGGTATCATGATTAACTTTAGAGTCACGTTCAGAAATATGATAAAAACGATTACGTTCAAGCGTTGATTGCATTATTTTTTTAGAGTATTCGCTTTGAGGAAAAGAATGCAAAAGTGCAGCACAGGTCAAATTGCAAAACAAGTTGATAGTGTTCTCTTTGGTACAAACATCATCGACGCATTGATAACAATCATTTAATACTGTTTCAAGATCATTCATTGAAAATTCTTCATCGTAGATGATCGTTCCATCCTTGAAGATTTTTAAATTGTTTTGTGGTGATCTTAACAACCCTTTGATCGCTTCTTTCATACGTTCTTCATCACCAGAGAAAAGATCAAATGGACAATAGCTACTTCGATGATCAATCATTTTCATTTTTAACTGAAACAAAGCAATTTCATTTTATAGTTAGAAAAAGATGATTGGACTAATGAATATTAAGTAAAAAAAAAAAACAACAATTTTAATGATTTATTACCTTATAATACTGTGTAAGGCAATACGGACACATTTGTAATAATTGTTCCTCTTTACGTTGATATCCTTGTTTCGGTTTTATCTCTACTGCAAATATCGATTTACTTCTAAATATATCAGGATCGAGTTTAGCAAATTTCAATGGTAGCAAAGCATAATCTGGCATTTTCATTGCATATTTTTTTACTTTTTTCTTATATCTTCTTTTATCTGTAAACAAAAATTTGATATATTTTAATTGCTAAGTTACTACAAAATGTAGTTTAGTTGTTATTTGATCATAATAATATTTTACTAGATAAAAATAATAATAATAATAATAAGAAAAGATAAAAATGAAGTTAAAAATAACTTGTCAAAAAATCGTAAAAGTTATTAATCTACACACAATGATCTCGAATGATTATTTGAAATCACAGTGAGTTACGAGAGAAGTCATTGAATCGAAATAATCACTCATTATCTTTGCACTTTCCATTCCCATAAAGCCTCTAAGGATATATAAGAAGGGTGACTCATTAAAGTTACTCTAACGAGTAACCACCGCCTTTCACGTTGATTCTCGCTCGATGAATAGAAGGAAAAAAAAAAATCTTTCACAGCAATGAGATGTCGATGTTCCTTCTCTCTCTTTCTTTCTTTCTTTCTTTCTTTATTTTTCATACTCTTCAGAGATTGCTATATTGTACCATGTGAAAGATCATACTAAAACAATAAGTATAATTTCAACTTGCTTTTATTTCAATTTTTATTTATAAAAATGAAACAATCATAAAAAGAATTTTATTCTATCATTGTGTATACAACCTCTCAGAGAATGTTTTATAATTTAAATCTATTAGATATTATTTAATTAAATAATTTCAAGTTTTGAATCGTGTCAGTGCAAATATTTTTTTTTTTTTTTTTTATGATATGAACGTGATTAAAATAATACAAATTATTTGAATAAAATAATAATTTTTATATTTAAAAGAGAATTTTGTTTACGATCGTTTCGTTTTATATTTGAATATTAAACGTCTTGATTATTCTCTTTTACGTGTTTGAAATATTAAATTTTATTTTAATAATTCGCGATATAAAAATTCTTCGTGGTAGTAGGATAAACCGGTTGAAAAATTATTGTCCATTTCTTTTTTTTTTTTTTATGTTTCAATGCCTGTATTTCTTTCTGAAATAATAAAAATAATATTCTGTATTGTAAATTTCACGTGTCTAAAAAAAAATTATGTCTCTTGAATATTATATGGTTTTTTTTTTTTTTTAATCATTTGTCTCTTCAATTTGAGGCATTCATTCGTATGCTTATGTGTTAGTAGTGTATATCTGTGTCGAAACGACCGAGAGAGGTTTTTTTTTGTCGTTTACCTTGGCATTGAAATCAGGTATTTTCTAAGAAATTATATATATAGGTCAGTATGCCAATTTGATATAGGTTACTCATGTTAAGATATGTAGGTCAGTCTTTTCTTTTTCTCATATTCAAATTCCATTATATTTTCCCGCTTAATAAATCATTTAAAATTTCTTCTATAAATTAGTCGAATATTTCCGACGATTCCCGAATAGCACCGAATATTTTCTTTGCAAATTACACACAAATTATATATTATTTAAATTATTTTAAATAAATATTTTAATTATACACAAATGATTATTTTAATAATAATATTTCATGATTTACATTCACATAATTTTCATATATCAATTGCAGAAATGAATTCGATTTTTTCTAAAGACAAATACGTGAGCAATTTGGAACGCGATTTCTAACTTTAAAAAGTTAGCATTTTGCGCATGCGCGGCGCGAATTCGAAGTAGTGCGATGCCATATTGGTAATGGACACCAAAGTGACAAGAAATTCCTATCGTCTTTGTTCATTGCAGGTAATAATTAACAAATTTGTTTTCTAATATATATATATATTCTTTTCCTATATATCAATCAATTGTTTTTAAAGTATTTTCTAACACACATTATTATTAACAAGTTGTAATTATGATAATCACAATAATTTTATTCCAAATTTGTTAACCTTATTTTTGCAATATTTTCTTTTACATTATTTAACGATATTATACACGATACGGTATTAATTAGCAATTTTTTTCATTTATTAAATATAATTAATTGTATTTTTTATTATATGCAATTTTCACATAACCATACTATAAATGCACACACACACACACATATATATATATACAAATTATGCATGCATAAAAGCATTTAATTAATTTTATACTCCACTAATACAATCTTATACATTTTCAGATTTCCAAGAATGCGAAGAACTGAAGAATAAATCATTGCGAAATATTCCAGTGGAATTTGGTTTATACAAGTAGCTTTTACCATTGAC